CACAGGCTCCGTCAGGCATGGCTGCAGGCACAGAGCGACCCGACAGCAAGCCCCCCACTTCCTCCCCATCCCCCCACCACAGACCTGCCTTACGAAGTGATCAGAGGCCCACAAACACTTGATTGACCCATCGCTCTGTCCTGACTGCATCTGGATTCTACTTTGAAAGACTCAAGAATTGGCTAGAAGCTGCTGATGGGGGCAGGAAGGGGTGGGGGGGTACCCCCTCCCCCACGTAGCCTGCAAACCACTGAAGGACAGAGCACAGTGGGTCCATTTAGACTTTATGCAAATGCAGCGTCCCTCTGCCCCCTGAGAACCTACTGCTTCTTTAAAACCCGCCCCTGCAGGTGATGCTGGCTGCACCCCGCACAAACAAGCTAGGGTCACCTGCCAGCTCAAGCTCGGCCAATCCCAGGGTGGGAGGGACCAACAGAAACTTCTCCATTCCTTCAAACCACAATTCGATTTGTGACAATGAAAAATTATCCCAAACTTGGAGGTAAGCAAGGCAGAAACGATGCACACTTGGCCTTTCAAAGCCATCCCGGAGGGTTATCTAAGAAGTCTCCCTGTAAGGGCCGTCAGATTCTCTGGGGGGTGGTCAGTTTGTTTGACTTACTGTTGACTATCGATTAGGGCTCTGACTCAGTCAAGTTCGGTGCTAATTCGGTGGACAATTCAGCTCCAAATGACCGGCAGCACAGATAACCCCCACACTGGGGTCGGGGGGAATATCCACGGGTTGGGCTCGGTGACCATGTGTGACCCATGCTTCCTGTCCTCTGTTCAGTCTTTATCACTATGCTGGCTCCCTCGTGGGTGAGTTAAAGGGCTGAGACCCAGGCTCACTATCTCTTTGGAAGACTCACAGTTCTAACTGTTTTTGAAATTACATGTGGACCCTCTCACCCTTCCCCCCAGTGGGAAGGGCTCGAGTTCAGAATTTCTGCAGGGCCCTAAGGAGTTTCTGAGGGTTCCATTTATTTGTAGATGCCCAGGGCATTCCTGGACCACTAAAAAACAGGTAAGGAGAAGAGGGTAAGGCTGCAAGGGTCTAATTGCTACATCTAGCGGCTAATCAACGTGTCAAAAGAACGCTTCAAACCAGTGAGGGTGATTAGCTTTTATCCCACGGGCCGGGCCCACTCTGCTGATTCCCAGCAGCTACACAGGCTGCCACTTTGGAAAAGGTTCGGAGGCCAGACCGAGCTCAGCACATCCCGGTTGATTAGTGATGTCTGACCAGGGTGCCGAATCAGGACGACGGGCTGGGAGGCGGGTTTCCGCCATCCCTGCTTTAATCTCCTGGTAAACACTCTCTCGGGATTCTAGCTAGAGCTGGAAGACCTTTCGGGAATCATCACATCCCAGAGTTCACACATAACGATCGGGATGTAACCGTGTGCTGAGGCGTATCTGATCTACGGCGACAAAGCTAACAGTGCCATCGTCCCCAGACGCATTCATAACTTTATCCTCCATCCTGTCACCCATCCCTTCTTCGACCACCTGACTGGCCCCTGGCCCCCCTCTGGGCATTGCTGGAAAACAAAAGGGATGCCTCATCCACACCGTCCAGGATGCTCGCTCCTGTCTAACCCTGCTCGTTACTGAGCCTCGGGGAGGCCCCACAGTGAGCTCCCGGTCTGACAGCCCCAGCCTCCCCACCCCTTCCTCCCACGGAAGCTGCCACTCGGCCAGTGGATAGTGGCCAGGGTCAGGGGAAAGGGCTCCCCACATCTGCTTACGCAAAGGAGTTGACTGGCAGCTGAGCTAAAACCACTCGCCCAGACTTCCCACCCCAGACCCAGGCTCTCTGGCAGGGCCTGCGGGCCGGGCAGCTTCTGCTGGGCTGAAAACCTGTAAGGGATAGTTACATTTTTGCTCTTCCTCGGGGACGATGCGGTAAACTTTGTATGGCTCTGAAATGTCCAGCTGGGACCGGTCTGTCACCTCCTCAAAATCTGGGCTCTTGTTCAAAGCACAGCGTAGCCTCGTCTTCCAAGTGGCTGGTTCTGCTTTGTCCCCTTCCTTAAATTTCCCTTTAAACACTGCCCAGGCCTGTAGAAACAGAAAGAAGCACATAAAATACGTGGCCGCCCACCCCCACCGGCCCTGCCCACAGGCATCCACGGCCACGGGCGAGACCAGCACGTTCTCTCGCCAGTCCTGACGGTCACTTTTGGCCATCACCTCTCGTTCGAGGACTTTCGGGACAACTTTCTGTGACGGATGTGAAAAGATCAGGGCCAGGAAGGGGCCCCGGGGATCACCCAGCTGAGCCAGAATCCGGCCCAGGGCCTTGGCTCCCATACAGCACACATCTTGGATCTGTCTCTGGGCCATTCCTTCCTGGGACCAAAGGGTCTGGAGGAGCCTGAGGTCAGCTACAGCACAAAGAGGAAGTCGCACATGGTTTCACTAGAATGTTCAAAACAAAGAACAATTTGTTGCTTTTTCAAATCAACCCCTGGCTAAAATTTAGCATGAAAAGGGAACATTTGCAAGAAGTCTGAATGTGGTCATCCGCTGCCTTGCTACTTTTAATAGAAATTTTGTTTTGCATTTTGGCATTTATTCTAACCTTCCCCGCCCCACCCCCAGGGCCCTGCTTAAAAGGGCAATGAAATGTGTTCTGTCTCTGTTGGTTTTCCACAGCTCTGCTTCTGACCTCTCCAAACCTTAGACTCTGAACAAGGACGAGAAATTGAAAGCTGAAGACCTAAAAGCCACAGTGCAGAATGGGGCAGACCTAAAAGAAAATTCAGACAAGCATGCGAATGGGCACGGTGTGAAGATTTCAAAACTGGAATCCAGACACCCCAATGAGGAGGTCACTGCTATCAGGTGAAAATAACCTTCGCTGTCAGACGAAACCAGATGCAACTTCCAGCCTGGGACAGCACGCCATCTGGAGGGAATCCCCAGTCCCACTCAGGAAAATGCAGTTCCAAAGGTGACCTCCCCAAGGTGACCCATCCTGGGGTTAAACACCACTGTCCTCACTTCCGACCCAATTAAACTCCACTACAGCAAGAGTTCTGAAGCTTAATGCCGACACCGGCTCCCTGGGAAGCTCGTGAAATGCAGATGCCTGGGCCCTGCCCCCTGAGATTCTCATTAACTGTGGGTTAGGTCTGAGAATCTGCACCTTTTCCTTTAAATGTTTATTTATTTATTTTGGCGGGGGGGGGGG